GAGAGAATGAATGAGGGGGAGAAGGGCAGAGAAAGGGAGGGAGAAGGGGGGAAGGAGAGAGGAAGAGAAAGGAAGAGAGAAAAAATAAGAGGGAGAGAGACACTGAGAAAGGTAGAAACAAGGAGGGCGCCAGCCAGCCAGCCAGCCCAGAGCCGGGCAGGGGAGGAGAGAGGTGGATTCTGACGGTTCCAGTCCACACCGGGCGGGCGGCTCCCTCCCAAGGAGGATTCCTGGGGTGGGGGGGGTGGGGGGGAGGCTCTGACTCACCCCCTTCTCCCTGCTCCTTAAACCAACACCTCAGGATCCTCCACCTCCCATAACCTCTGGGCCTCCTCGCCCGCCCAGCTTCCTGCCCCACCTCCACCCTGGCACCCTCCCCCACGAATGTTCCATCTCAGCCTCCAAAATCGCTCTGCGACCAGGGCTCTCCACCCCCTCCACAAGGTCCCGTCCTGATCCCGGCTCCTCTGTGCTCCTCGGTCCCCGGCCTCCTCCCCGGTCTGCAGCCCCAGCCCCCCCAGCCCCCCGCCCTCGAACGCACCCTCCAGAACGCAGGTCCAGTCCCACGACATCCCTCCCCCGCCCTGAGCCCTTCTCAGGACAAAACTGGGGGCCTGGCCACAGCCCTGGGTGGTCCGACCCCCGCCCACCACCGCGGCCTCAGATTCGGTTGCCCTCCCGGCCCTCGGATGTTCCACGGACATCTTCCCTCCTCCTTGAACCTGCCACGTTCTTATCTCCAGTTCCCGCGCCTACTGCTCCCTCTGTCTGGAATCCCCGCCCTTCTTGCTCTCTCCAGTCTCCGGTTTGCAGCTCAGGTGCCCTCTCCTCCAAGAAGCCCTCTCTGATTCCCCCTGGGCTGCCCAGTCCCAGCCTGGACCACACCTGGCCGTCACTGTCCGGGCATGGTTCTGTCTCCTCCCCTGGACTGCCTTAGTCACTGCTGCGTCCCCTACAGCAGCTGGCACAGGGCCGGGCACAGAGGAGATTTTGTTGAATGCAACCGTTTGTTCGGTATCATTAGTTCGACAAATATTTACTAAGCGCCGACTCTGTTCCAAGCTCTGGGGCTGCAGCAGGGAATGAGCTCAGAGAAAGGTCGCAGCTTCTGTGGAGCTGACACGTGAGCGGCGGAGACGGGCTGTCAACGCAGAAGCCCAATAAACAGGTCACATAGGCTGGGAAGTAACGACCACTAAGAGAGAGGTCTCCAGGAAGCAGCGAGAGCAAGTGCAAAGGCCCTGAGGCAGGACCCGGGAGGCCCGCGTGAGGTGCGATGAATAATGGAGAGGGTGTGGCAGATGAGGGCAGACGGATGAGAAAGGCAGGGTTTGGGGTGGGGGTGGCAGGGCTCGACTGTGGCCCACAGGGAGGGCTTGCCGTTTGCCCAGTGAGAGCGGAGTCCTGGGTGGGACTCGGTGCAAGCTGATGGGTGGGAGGTGATGAATGCGGGAATAACAGGACGGAGGAGACGAGGCAGAAGCGCGTGGTGGAGACCGATTCTCCCCCGAGTCCTCTCTGCGCCAGCTCGGGGAACTAACTCTCTTAGATTCTTAGACAACTAACTAATCAGAGCTGACACCTCCGTGACCAGCAGCCAGGTAAGAAGGGTCAGAAGGGCGG